TTTTTCTTTTCTTTTGGTTTTTTGAGACAGGGTCTCACTGTAGTTGAGACTTACCTGAACTGAGCTCATTATGTAGCCCAGGCTGGTCTCGAACTCACAGCGATCCTCCTGCCTCAGCCTCCCGAGTGCTGGGATTACAGGTGTGCACCACCATACCCAGCTCTAGAATATTTTTACTTTAACCTACCCCTTCTCCAGCTCGATTCACCAGGCACCTGTAGACCTGTAAAGTTCTCCGAGGAAAGGTCTCTGTCTTTGCTGACTCCCAGCTGATAAGGTCATGCTGAGTGGACGTATGTTTTCGGTAGCTCAGAGCCAGAACAAGTGTGATCTCAGCTTTGTGTCACCACAGACACCGGGACGCCCGTCCTCATCGGGGCTCGTATGAGCCCGGTGAAGGCTGTATGTTTGGAGCCTGTGGTCCTGTGTCATCTTTACTGTCTCTGGCCGGGTGTCTTGCGCTTCTAGGAAGTTCTGCCCCTCCGTGGCTGTAGTGCTGGCAGGAGTGACTGATCCCCTTGTGGATTGTGCTCCTGTCCCCCTGCAGCTTCCTGTACACGACCCTCAGGAGACCCCAGCTAATTGAGCAGGAGGAGGCCTGATAGCGCTGTGGTTGCTCTTGTTACGCATTCATTAATCCGAGTGGCCTGACCGGAGTCCAGCCAGGGCTTTTCCTCTGCTCGGAACCCTTCTTGGGTCTGGCTGGAGTCAGAGATGAGTACCTGGCCCTCGCCACGGCCTACAATTCAGTGGTGGGACAGAAGGAGCTGCCACTTTTCTTCAGTCAGGAACTCTCTGTCCTGTTCATGCCTTCTTTGGTCCCATTTCTGCTAAATAGAGACGTTTATGCATAACAAGCATAGACCAGTGGAAAGGGGCAGGACTAGGTTCAGCTCTGGAGTTCTTGACCTTGCAGGGTTTGTGAGTTGATGAGGGCCTAAAATCAACTCAACTCTTAGGTGGGTCTCCAAAAGATGATCACTGTCGGTAGTTATCACGCAACATTTCTTAGTGTCCTCTGCACTAGCTGGGGGTTAAACCAACAAACAGCCTTTGCACTGAGCTACATCCCTAGTCTTTTTTTTTTTTTTTTTTTTTTTTTTTTTGAAAAGGTGTTTTTGCTGAGTCTCCCAGGTTGGACTTGAACTTGTGATCCTCCTGCCTCGGCCTCCAGTAGTGCTGTGCTTAACGGGTGTGTGCCATCCCAGAACCTGCTCTTAATCGACAAGCGGGTGTCCTGGATATAAAACTGCAGGTATTCACATGGTGGCATGCGTGGTTGTGAACCTCCGTCACAGGTTACTCAGGTCCGTTCTCAAGTTCTGTGCTTATAAATAATAGAGCTGGGGGCCGGGGATTTAGCTCAGTGGTTCTGCCACCTGCCTTTCAAGCACAAGGGACACAAGTTCGATCCCCGGTACCAAAAAAAAAAAAAACAATAATAATAGAGCTGAGAGTGGTGGTGCACACTTGGACTGACATTTGGGAGGCCAGGCCAGGATGAACCACAGAGTGGGACCCTGTCTCAGAAAACATCACTAAGAAAAGAGCATGGTGATGGATTTATGGTGGGCCCGTCTGCGTGGGCCTTTCAGAGTGTACCATGCGAGAGCAAAGTGCAGCCTCGAACCATTGCCCGGCCTCTGCCGTGGGCCGTGAGCACTGAAGGAGGTTGCACAGGTCCTACAGAAGGGGCCTGTGGGCTGGGCTAGGTGGTGCAAGACTGTAATTCCAGCCCCGTGGGAGGCTGAGGTGTACAGATTGCAAGTTTGAGCCTGACTTGGGCAAGTTAGCCAGACTGACTCAGAATACAAACTTTAGGAAGGCCCTGGGTTTAATCTCTAGCAACAAACAATACAAACAGGGCGTATGGACTAAATTCTGTGTCTGGTTCCTAGTCAGAATTATCTTTATGATCTGCTGTTCCTCGGCTTTGAGCTACAGCCCCTTTTTTTGGTACCGGCGATTGAACTCGGGTCCTTGTACTTGTGAGGCAGGTGCTGGAACCACTGAGTCAAATCCCCGGCCCTACAGCCCTTTTAAACGTGGCAGAGCAGGTGATAGCTGGGTTCCTCGTCCTGTGTTTTGCATTATTTCATCTTAGAATTTAACTTGACCTGTTTGGCCTGGTGTGGTGGTGCCATACCTGTGATCCCAGCACTTGGGAGGCTGAGGCAGGTGGATTCCTATAAGTCCAGGCCAGCTGGGACTACCCAGCAAGACCTCTCTCTCTCTCTCTCTCCCTCTCTCCCTCCCTCCCTCTCTCCC